GTATTTCCCTACAGCTCCCATTCCTCTCTCCTCTGTCAGAGTGCCGTATCTTTTTTTTTTAACGAGACAGGGTTTCTCTGTATTGTTTTGGAGGCTGTTGGTCCAGCCCGGCCTCGAACTCACAGAGATCCGCCCGCCTCTGCCTCCCGAGTGCTGGGATTAAAGGCATGCGCCACCAACGCCCGGCCAGAGTGCCATATCTTAAGGCAGGGTGCCTGCCTGTCTTGTACAGTGTGGTAGTCTTGCCGCCAAGTGCCCGGCCCACGCAAAGTATACCATCAGCATCTCAGAGTATAACCTCCCGGCCTCATTCTTTCCTCCCCCAGCCTGATCAGTGACTCGACCAGCGTCAGACCTCTCTACGGGTACAAAGCACCCCTGTGCCTCAGCCCGTGTGTTTGTGAAGCAGTTTCCCACCCGTGTGGGGTTTTCTGCTTGACTTCTCCAGAGGGTTCTGGAGGTTCTGTTTCAGAAACCTATCTGCATGGGTCTGGTGCCACTGATCTGCGGTTCCAGCTTCTCAGGACTCTGAGGCAGACGCACTTTCTGGGATACGTAGCAAGTTCAAAACTATTGATAATCTGCCGGCTTTGGATGTCACTTCCCTTAGAAAGTTTTTTTTTTCAACTCCCGGGAGGTATGGGGAGTGGGTGTTACTATATAGAAAACCAGGCTGGTTTTAGAACCAAATTCCATGAAGATACCCGGGCTGCGCACTGTGTTCTGGGCAGCCTGCATACAAGATTCTATCTCAAAAAGAGAAAAGATCAGTGCTAGGGATGGAGCCCAGGGAGAGTTGTGTGTTTAGCGTACGTGGAGCCCTGGCTTCAACCCCGAGCTCCGTGGTAGGGAAGAAAGGAGCTAGAGAGTTGCCTCAGTGGTTAAGAGCGCCTGCTGCTCTTGCTGAGAACCCGGGCTTGGTTCCCAGCACGCACACAGCGACTCACAACCTTCAGTAACTCCAGTTCCAGGCGATCCAACGCCCCCTTCTGTCTTCCTCAGGCACTGCACGCTCATGGAGCACATACATTCCCACAGGTGAACATTCACACCTGAAACAAAACTCAGCTGTATCTTTTGAAAAAAAAAACTAAAAGGGATCAGTTCTCTCACTCTCTGTCACAGGCACAGCCACGCCCGAGGTGACACTTATCTTCTGAGCATCCGGAGGCTCTGGTGTCCACCTCGAGAGCTGAAGGAGCACATGCCAACCACATGCTAAGAACTGAGGACTAGCTCGGTCATTTCATCTTGCTCCTTGGATGACACGGGCAATCCCCGGCCCCTGGCAGCTGAGCAGCCCCTGGGGGATGTCATTAGTGTCCCCAATGGTGCCCTGCCCCCCGGGGAATGACCCAGTGCACATCGCCACCTGTTCCATACAGCAGACTTCTACCCTGCATTTTTGTAGTTCTTGGTTGATATGGCCGTGATGGTGTTAAAATGTCCCCCCCCTCAATTTCTTCCTTTCTTTTCCTTCCATCTACAAACTACTCAGGTCTAGGTTCTGTGGCGACCAGTCAAGATACATCTCTGAGAGAGAAATCTTTGCTTATCTGAGGAGGGACAGGCTATGGAATTCCCAAATGCAGAATGCTCACAAGGCACCTTGTGCTTAGTAGGTGGGTTGCCTTGTGTTTAGTAGGTGGGTTGCCTTGTGTTTATTAGGTGGGTTGCCTTGTGTTTAGTAGGTGGGTTGCCTTGTGTTTAGTAGGAGAGGTGCCTTGTGATTAGTAGGTGGGGTGCCTTGTGATTAGTAGGTGGGGTGCCTTGTGATTAGTAGGTGGGGTGCCTTGTGATTAGTAGGTGGGTTGCCTTGTGTTTAGTAGGAGAGTTGCCTTGTGATCAGTAGGTGGGGTGTCTTGTGTTTAGTAGGTGGGTTGCCTTGTGTTTAGTAGGTGGGCTGCCTTGTGTTTAATAGGTGGGTTGTCTTGTGCTTAGAAGGTGGGTTGTCTTGTGCTTAGAAGGTGGGTTGCCTTGTGTTTAGTAGGAGAATTGCCTTGTGATTAGTAGGTGGGGTGCCTTGTGATTAGTAGGTGGGGTGCCTTGTGTTTAGTAGGTGGGCTGCCTTGTGCTTAGAAGGTGGGTTGTCTTGTGCTTAGAAGGTGGTTGTCTTGTGCTTGGTAGGTGGGTAGTTCTCATAGGTGTCTCTTTTCTCTGCACAGTGACAAAACACCCCACAGGAGCAACCCAACAGAGAGGGAGAATTTATTTTGGCTTGTGGGTTCAGAGGTCTTAGCCTATCGTGGCAGGGAAGGCACGGCAGAGTACCCTCATGGTGGCGGAAATGTGTGGCCAAGGTTGGTTCGCATGAACCAGGGAGCAAGAATCGTGGCTGGGACTGCTACTGTGGTTGGCGGTGTTTCTCAGCCAAAGGATTGGAAGCAAGGGCTCACGGAGATCAGCAAAACGCAAACCGCGGTGGAGATTAAGGAGGACGCGGGGGTTGTCATTGCTGACAGCGGGCTTTAGCGCCCAGAGTGTTCAAGGGCACCGACTGTTGTTAGGAGCTTCCTTTGTGGGGTTCAGAAAGAGAGGGGCTGGTTACTACAGCTTCGGTGGGCCCCACTTTGACGAACAGATTATATATTCATTTCTCCTGCTGTGCATATATCCCTTCCCACAATGCTTCTGATTTTAGTCATATGCATGTCCAGTTATGCATAGGCATAAGCTGCTAAATCGGGGATTCTCCATGAAATGTTACCAGAGGACACCGCTATGTCTTATTGCATATGCACCCGCAGCCAGCTCAGACCAGATTGGGATTATTTTTTCATTCTGTTCTTCATACCTGGATGCATTGGGAACACACTTGAAGAGAAACTCTAATTTAATTGTTACCGGGACCTGTGGGAAATTGTGCCATTTTTTTTTTTCTGTGTTGCCTGATGCAGGTGTGTTGTTTGGAGAGAGGCATAAAGACGTTACTACAAGGGGACATGCAGGTAAAGGCATTATTACGGGGGGGGGTTATTCATAACCCCGATCTATCTCCTATGTAGTCTGCTTCAGGACCAGGGGCTGGCATATCTTCAAAGGTCCTCCCCTGGTGACCCACTTCCAGCCCTACAAGTTTCACAGCCAAGCCAGACACTAAGTTATCAAAACACAAGTCTGATGGGAGGCGGGAGACATCCTAGAAGTTTAACAGCCAGGCGAATTTGCTTTTCCTGGACACACACACAGACACACACACACACACACACACACACACACACACACACGCACGCACGCACACACGTTTTTGGAGACAGGATTTCTCTGTGTAACAGCACTGGTTATCCTGGAACAAGCTTTGTAGACCAGGTTGACCTTTAACTCACAGATAACAGCCCGCCTCTGCCTCCCAAGTGCTGGGATTAAAGGTGTACCAGCATACTGGCCCTGAAGACATTTTAAAAATCCATTATTACAGTGAAATCTGTGATTTCCAAGTAAAATTTTGCTTTGAGAAGTTCAAGGGAAAAAAAAACAATTCAAGGAAACTCTACAAGGTGGGTATGCTATTGCCCTGGTCTCAAGCATGATGCAACATGAGAATCACAATGCCAGACGGATGTCTTTGGTCTAGGGTGTTCTTGGACACCGGCTTTCTGGAAGGAAAGGGTGTTGTGTGTCCATCACAGCCATTCCTGTACCCCTGCTGACCTGACGTCAGACCCCTTGCCCATTCCAGACAGGAGCTGAGATGGTCACCAAACCGTTCTAGGGTTTTACTCCCCACTGGCTTCTTCTGCTGGAAACGTCTGCCTAGGAGACAGTTTCCTGGGGGCCTCTTTGGTTTGGGGTTATGCATAACCTCCTTTGTAATAGCACACTTTAGCAGCCCAGTTCCTCTGCCTGCATGTGAACGTACACAGTTCTCCGAACAAATGCAGCTAGCAACCTTAAAACCCACAGATTGTACCAGACAGCAAGTGTTAGGTTCCCCAAACTCATAATCTCCTCCCTCCGTATCGATTTTTGCATCCGGGCACCAGGAATCACTACGTTGGTACCCGGATCTTATGTCCTTCTTTCTCCAACACCCCTGAGAAGGAAGGTTCCATCCCCTGAAACTGATGCTGTCCAGCATCCCGCGTGGGTGGGGATAACTGAACGGCCATGTCACAAAGTCAGACCTAAAGAATCGCGATTGCAATGCTACAAGTAAACGACCGTTTCAAACCCTCATGTGCCAAGCGGTAGGAACTCAGTCTAATCAAGAATGGGGACGCGTAGGTGGTTGGGAGTTCCTCAGTGGCGTCTCCTTGGACTGTGGGACTGGCTGGTGTCTTGACATTGGGGCCAGTGAATCACCTTGAATCCTGCTGCCCAGTCACTTTTCGTGGCTCCCTGGTAGGCCTGTGTCCAGCGGCTCCCCGTCCTGTGTTCCCCCATCTGACCGTGCCTTCTCCCCGGGTTGCTGGTTATCCCGTGTTGCTCTGCAAAGCTTCTGGGCGGGGCTGACAGGGCTCTGGTTCTCTCAGCCTCTGGAGATGGTTTCTTTTGCTGAGATTCCTTCTCAGCCTGGTGGTTGGTGCAAGAGTTCTGTGGTGGTGGTGGTGGTGGGGTTAGTGGGAAGCCATGTGGGGGGTGAGAGAGATCCAGGTGTCTTGAGACCCCCACAGACGTTCATCCCTGCCTGCGTTCCTCCCTTGTGATGGTCTGAGTGAGAAGCATCCCTCACAGGCTCAGGTTCTTCAACGCTTGCTCCCCAGGTGGTGGCGCTGTTTGGGGAGGCAGTAGGAGGAAGCCTGTCACGAGGGGAAGTCTAACGTGTATAGTCTCACCCCCGCTTCCTGCTTGCTCCCTCTGCTTCCAGCTTCCTTGGGTCCGAAGATGGGCTCTCAACTTGGGGCCCATGCTTCCCTGATGTGATGAACTCTTATTTATTTATTTGTTTATTTTGTCTTTTACATCACGTATCTTGGTCCCATTCATTTACCTGTCCCTTCACCTCCCAACCGTCTGCCCCTGTGTCCCCCAAATAAAATTTAGGAGGGGGGAAAAAAGAAGAAAACACGGAACACTGTGTGAATTTGCATGTCATCCTTGTGCAGGGGCCGTGCTCATCTTCTCTGCATTGTTCCGGTTTTAGTATATGTGCTGCGGGAGCAAGTACCCATGGTGAACCCTTGTGCCTCTGGAACCACGAGCCCAAATTAAGTTGCCTTGGTCCACGCTTTTTTTCTTTTTTAAATCTCAGTAACGGACAAGGGAGGAAGACACCGCTCTTGTATCTAATTTTCTTTGCACAGGCGCAATATTTGGAACGAAGCAACTTAGGGACCCTTGAGCCTCATGCCTTTGGCCCCTTGGTCCCATGTCCAAAGGGTTCCCTACTTCCAAAACAGCACCCACCAGATGAGTACCAGCACTCCAGGAACGTGACCCTGCGGATGTCACCTCCCCTTCTAACGGCGATGTCTCTGACCCTCTCAACTCTCCAGACGTGTTTTGATGGCATGGTGGGAACGCCCAGATTGCACTCATTTCCTTCTCACCTACTTCCCCGTGTTAGAGAGACCACAGTGAAAACTTAGACTCTGTGCTTGCGGCTTTTCCCATAGCGGCAGATGCTCCACCCCCTCCCCCCGCCCCGCCCAGCCCACGGAGTTGTCTGGTCAACGGGAGGTGGTTGGATTCTGGGCTCAGTCGCTACAGACGTCCCTCAGGGTTGACGACGCAGCGCATGAAGGATGCTACGAAACCACGCGGGGGTTTCACCGAGACCTACTGGGTACCGAGGGGATGGCAGAGGGGAGTATTGCCACATCCCTCCTGCCCTCAAACTGCTCCTAGAAGCAAAAATTGCAAGGTCATATTTCTGCATCTCTCTAGATGGGTGGGTGGGTGGTTGGGCAGGGGGTGGGACCAAGAGACGTAGGAACACAGGACAGATGTAAAGACACAGGGGAGACCAGGTTACTCTGCTGGCGTTGGGATGCTGTGCGCCATCTGTGACCCTGACATCGAGAAAACGGGTCTGGTCCTAGCAGGCTCACTCCGCGAGCTCTCCCGCTCCCGTGACTCGTTCTTCCTGTGGCTATGAGTTTAACTACACTGGGGCCTGTGACCCCCAGGGACCTCCAGGACTGGACGGATAACCTGTTTGGGTGCCTAAAAGGAAACAGTGCAGGGGCCCAAAAGGTTTATGCGTCCTACATCGGCCCTGGTTTTCTAGGGGTTGGGTACATGAGGACTTTCCCTGACCTTGACGGCCTGAGATTAACTGTCTTGTGAAATCTCCAGCAAGCGCTGTGATCTCCAGGTGTGCTGCTCACATGGGAATATTGCCGTTGCACGGCCGGGATACCCGAAGTCAGCCCAACAGCCGAGCCTAGTCCCGACACCCCCAATACCCACATTGTGCCAGGCTTCCATCGCTTGACAAAGAGGTAAGAGAGGGGATGGAGTTGGCTTGGCTGTGGTTTCGGCCCATGGAGGGCTGGCTCCTCACCGGAAGCTAGGCTAAGACCCGGTGGGGGTGCCACACACCTCAAGGTGGCCAGGAGGGAGGAAGAGGGAGGGAGCCAGGGAACGGGAGAGAGGACAGACAGACAGACAGACAGACAGACAGACAGACAGACAGACGGATAGGAACACCAAAGTCACCACTTCCCTCTGAGTCTCCAATCTATTGTACATCCTTTCAGAGTGGTTCTTCCGCAGTTTCTGTTCTACATGTCAATCATCTGTGGGACTTCCCAAACAAACAGGCCCGGAAGTGTGTTTTACTAATGATCTAGGGGTTTCTTATTCAAATAAAAGTTACAATCAAGGCCAACCATTATACTTATGTGGTCCTACCCACCCACCCACACATCCACCCATCTGCCCATCCATCCATCCATCCATCCATCCATCCATCCATCCATCCATCCATCCATCCATCCATTCACCCATCCATCCACCCACCCACCCATCCCATAAATATTTATGTGGCCAGATTGCTTACAAATACTTTTTTTTTTTTTGCTTCTAGGAGTTCCGGTTTGAAACTGACCCACAAACCAGGCAGGATACCGACCTTGGTTATAGCGCACAAGTCTCTCTTGGCTGAGAAGGCAAGGTTCTCTTAAGCTGGCGGCTGTCAGCCTGCCTTTGGGAATAACGTGGGCTCTGGCTTTGGCTTGGGATCCGGCAGGCAGCCAGAGCCGTGGATTTCTAGGCTTTGGAAGCACGCGCTCTGCCCCGTTGGGTTTGGAATACTTTCCTCCGCGCAGGGCCAAGTCTTTGCAAGGCAAAGAGGGTGGATTTAGCCAGCACCTTCTCTGAGCACCTGGCCAGGCAGCCCCTACGGAGTGGCCACCTCCTCGGCGGCAATAATTCATCACAGACGGCTTCATAGGTGCACTTAAGAAGGGACGGATGATCTATTTTGTACACGCTCCTTAAAGGGATTCCATTTTAGCTCCAATTGTAGTTTTTACCTTTTTCAGGGGGAATTTATTGACACAGTGCCTAGCTCAGCCCGAGTTTTCGGCATTACCCTTTTGTCTGCAAGCGCACACAGCCGCGGCTTAATTTGTCATAGCCCTGGAGGTATCAGAACTAATGAGCTTTGTTTGAATAGACTTTTTCCACTTCATCTAGCACACTTTGGGGTAATCACTCAGTTTCTGTTTGCTTCTGATCCGAGGCATTGTGGGAAATATAAGAAAATAATGGTTAAAAAAGCAGTATAAATTGGGAACAGCCACATTTTCTGTAAAGCCCCGAAGATGTGATTTTTTTAATTTCACCACTTATTGAAGTATTGAGAGTCCTCTAAGTACAACCATTACAATATAATATCGGAGGGGGGGAGGAGAATCTGATAAAATGCTATTTTTCAATTAGCTGGGAGTTTCTACTTGGCCTTCTCCAAAGCAGCTCATAGCTAACAAATCTTTAAACAATTTGACCTCTTCAGGTTGGGAAGTGGACAGATAATAACCACCAGTGTGGAAGCGTGTGTGCCAGCGTCGAGGCTTAAAAAAAAAATCCGTCGCTGGCATCCCATACAGGAGCGGCTATTACTGGTCAGGCAATTGCATTTCCGCTTCAGTAAAACAGCCCCTCCCTGCGGTTTGGTTACACCGCCAAGCAGGTGGGAGAAAGGCACGAAGCTGACCTTGGGGGGTCCTGGCTGCAGGGGCCATGAAGGTGTGGCGTGGGGGCAGCTGCTGGTGACCTCCTTAAGCTGGATGTGATCTGCGCTAGCAGGGTTGAGGGCTGCCTGTAGGGTAGGTAGGCTGGGGCTTTAAGTGGGTTGAACCAGCTGTGTGTTGGTTTTACAGTCGGGGTTTTACAGACGGATGGCTGTGACATCGGAGGCAGGCTGGTTTGGGAGCAGTGCTGGCTGCCTTCTCTGGGCTCTGCTGGGTGTCTGTTCACACCGAGTCTGCTGAACTGGTGCTGGGTGGAGGTTCTCACGGAGTCCGCTGTCGCTGTGAGAGGGCCCACGATTGGTTTTCCTCCTTGCCTCCCTCCCTCCCTTTGACAGGCTCTAGAAATGTAACTTAGGCTGACCTCAAACTTGTGATCCTCCTGCCTCTGCCTGCCAAGTACTTGGATCACACACATGTTGCACCATGCCTAGATCACATTTTTTTTAATTTAAAAAATTATGTATGTATTTATTTATTTGGTTTGTATTTAATATTGAACAGAAGGCCTTGCACATGTTGAACAGGTAATTCATGACTGAGTTCCAGCTCCTCACTGGGAGATTCTAGGCAGCGGCTCTACCACTGAGTCATATCTTCAGCCCCTTACTGGGGGATTCTAGGCAGATACTCTACTACTAAGCCATGCCCCCAACCCCTCCCTGGGGAATTCTAGGCAGGTGCTCTACCACTGAGTCGTATCCCCAGTCCCTTACTGGGGGATTCTAGGCAGAGGCTCTACCACTGAGCCATATCCCCAGTCCCTTACTGGGGGATTCTAGGCAGGTTCTTCACCATTAAGCTGTATCTCCAGGTCACACCATGACTTTGTGGTGTTCACAGCCATTTTTATTCTGTATGGGGGCAGAAATCATTAGCTCCGTTTTTTTTTCCCCAAGCATTCTGGAAGCCAGAACCTTGAAGCCTTAGGTCTTTTGTACCTTGGTTGTAGGTGTGCAGCTAAATGGCATGGCTTGTCTCTGGTCCTCTTCCTCTCTATCCCACATTGGGGGGAACTGGCTTGGTGTTATGCTTGTGCGGGGTGGATATGCATCACCATTAGGCAGCTGCAGCAGCCTCTGCAGAGCCCTGGCCGTCCCTGTGCATGCTGGGAACCCAGGCTAAGGTCCGCAGGGTCGTCGTCGTTCTAGGGTGAGCGAGGAGATCTGCTGCTCTCCAGAGCCTGATCTCACATGAGTGAAGACGGGCAGGGCGTGGGGCCCAGGGGAGAGGGGCCTGGAGGAAGGAGAGGAGCCCTGAGGCTGAGAGTAGGTTTTTTTTAATGCCTCCTCCCCCCCCCCCAAAGCTTGTGGGAGGAATGGGTTCGTCAGGTGAGGCAGCGCTTGTGGGCAATCCACGGGACCCCGACCCCAGGGAGCCGTGGAGGGTTCTGAGAGGAGAGAATAAGGATCTGCTTGGCATCTAGTACCCGGAATGCAGAAGCTCAGCGAGGGGGGATGACCATTTAGAGGTGGAGACGAGGAGAAAGATGTCTGGGCTTGGCATTTCATCTGCGCTGTGGAGTGTCTGGAAGGGCGTCTCAGCTGCTGCTATGGGGCAAAGCCTCCTAAAAGCTTAGTGGCGGCTTAGGCACCATGGTCCCATGGCCAGCTTGGGGAATCTGTGACCTGGGCCAGTTAGCCATCCTCTGCTGGGCCGGGCTGGATACCCGCGGTTGGCTGGCAGGATGGTTGGGGTTATTTTGGCCTTACTTACTGGTCCAGGCATTGCCCAGAAGCCAGCTGGGCACCAGGACCCTCGTCGGCAGGGGCCACTAGCCTCTCATGTGGGACAACGAGTAGGCTGGCCAGTCATCACAGACTCCGCCTTTTCACTGCCTCAGCAGTTGGTGAGGCCTCTGGTTTCACTCCCTCTCTGCCCCGAATCTCAGAGGTTCTCCAGTGGTTGTTGCCGTTATTATTATCGGAACTGGCTATTTGTATAGTTTCTATTTTTAACAAAAAATATTCAA